CGGATATGCGCAGCAGCAAGAAGGTTTCGGTCATCCCTTGAGGGTGAGTCTAGCCCTGCTCGCCAGAAAGACCCCCCCCTTCACTACAACCCATGTCTAAGCAAAAGCTTGTCGAGGAGCGAGGGGAAGAAGGGAGAGTATGACAGGTGCTGCAGCACATTTTCTGGGGGGGTCGAATGGCGAAAAAAAACGCCCCCCCTAATTGTTCACATCTGCGGGGCACCATGTTTCTGATATTTTTTGTGTCCTTAAAGCGTGGCGTGTCTTTAAAAATGGTGTCTTTAAAGCGGGGACGACTGTAGCTATAGCAGATGCATAGGGCATGTGCGAAATGTGCGAACAGCCGAGAGCATACGGAACCGATAAAACATCATTCCGTTCGATACTAGCATCCCATGCCTCGATCACAAACCACTGACCGATATAATATGCACCACACGTGTGGCATTGGTAAGGAGCGGCCGCAAGAAATAAAACATGAGGGTGCGACATCGATCACCTCGACTGGAAGGCCACCATCCTCACTCCGCGTGAGAAGTTGACGTTTCGCCTTCAGTGAAGTACCTTCCGTACTTGCTTCCTTGCGTCCAGCAGCTTCAGCTTGCTCGGTCGTGTTCATAAATCCAGCTGCTGTCAACTTCTCGATAACCCTGGCAGCACACGAACAAAGGAACAAGTTCATTTTGGAATTGTTTCATGATTCTGCTTTTTGTCTTCCGACATGAGGCTTTCTCGAACGAAAGCCATCTCTTTCCCTCTCTCGGCCTGTAGACGTACGAACGCACGCGCGCCGCTCGTACATTGAACGCTCGTAATGCAGCAGTTGTCACATTACTTGAGAGAGTGTGCCCACATCCCACCATTCGATATCCTCTCTCCGTCGCAATTCTTCGAGAGCGGCCGTTAGGTTCTTGGAGCACTCGGAAGGAGGTCCTACTCGCACGTGGGTATTGGACACCATGGCTTCGTGCTCGAGCTTTGCGTTTGAGGACTCGAGTGGAACTAAAAACGAGGGGAAACAGAAGGAGCGTAATGATGAATGCCATGCACGCCGAGTTTCCGACTACTTGTGAGCTTCACAGGCCCGTTGTTGTGCAAGTACGCAACAACAGCATCAATAACAGCAGCAACATCAATCAAACTATATTGTCGGACTTTGGACGTTTCACCTTGGCTCGTCGAAACGTCGCAGGCTCCGCCGCCTCGTGCGTGTGGTGCGCACACACATACACCCACATCGCGCGGTCGATGCTAATAATAAAAGTACAGCCAAATCTTTGGTGGCCACTGCCACCGTAGCTTCTCGTACCGCTACTGTTGGGAGTTTTACGTGAGCTACGCCATGGCCGAGGAGCCGCGGAGAGGTCCTCCCGTGGTGGAAATCGTGTTGCCGACCTACATCACAAAGCCTAGCGAGGACGAGAAGTTTTACCCGTCCGAGGTCAAGGCAGTGGCGGAGAAGGTACGCACGCCATCTTCGAATGTTTGCCCACTCTGTATTTCGGTGTAAGACGAGGTAGTCTACCTTTGTTTGATACCAAACAGCAAGTGGGTGCCATTCTGAACGAGCCCTGGAGGGTCTTGTGGGCGTTTGCCGATACTACATGCAGTACATGTAGTCTACAGCAGTACAGCAGGACGGCCAGATCTTGAAGTACTTGTGGGTCTCCTTAAACTGTTGTAGCTGAGTAATAGCTTGTGGGTTCCTCTACGTAAAGTCTAAATCAGTATGTAGACTAGAGAGTCGATCAACATCAGCTTCGTTGAACCTGCTGGTCATTGTGGGGCAGCCTGTATCAGAAGAAGTTACGCAATTTGATCAGTCACGTTGACTGGTCAGATTGTGTAAAATTAGACTATCTACATCCCGGCTACACATTGGCGCTCAAACGAAACCACAAGCCAACAACCAATGGGGCGGGAGGGGGGTAGGAGACGGACGAGACGGCGAGGGAAGAAAGCAAACGAGAAGAGACGGACCGAGTGGCGCGACACGTGCCGGATTGAATTTCTTTTAGCCTATTCCCCCCCCCAACGCTGCACTATTGCACCGACCCCCGCTAGCGATGACGTACTATTACCACAATTTATCGCTGGTTAATGGCCATGTTTGCGTGTTTGCTTGTTCGTGAGTGGTCTCTCCACGGTGTGCCTTTTTTCTGTCTCTTATATTTCTTGTTATCTTCGGCCTGGTCCCTTTTTGGCCTCGCTCCTTTTCATTTTATTTTCTTTTTCCTCGCTGTTTCCTTTTATTTTATTTTATTTTTTCTCAATCTCTTTTTCTCTTTTTCTCTTTTTCTTCTCTTTTTCTGTGCCAGACGGCCTTCTCTCTGCTTGCGTCGTGAAGCACGAAGATTGAACCAAGGGGGCGTACCTCTTTCTCTCCGGCCCGTGATGGTGCCTCCTAGTCTCAGTTGTTACCTCGCATAGCGCGCAGAGGGAGTGGAGGACTCCAGAATATCTGTCGTTGATTTTTTCTTGACTTGCGGACCCCTCGGGGCCAGTTTATTTGAGTGTACCTTTTAAGGGTAAGTTAGCCTGCGACCACGGGAATCGACCGCGTCGAGTGTTGGATCAGTACGGACATACGAAGGTACTGGGTAGAGAGAGATCGGAACGGTTTTTAATGTGAAGACAACAACAACAACAACAACAACAACACATTATTAGTTTGCAAACGACGCTTTTTTGGGCAAAATGCACCATCTCCACACCATCAGATGGCTGGCGAGGGGTCCCACCCCGGAGATTACTGTATTAGCTGGGAGGCCAAGAGCCCGCCGAATATCTTTTTCTAGATATAATTACACCATTTGACCGTCAGCGCTGATGGGTTATATAATAATTTTGGTGACGGCGTAACGTTTAGTCTATAATATTTAAACTCATCTTGCAAATTGGGCGATCTACATTCAGCGGACGCTTGCACTCGAAGCCGATACGTCCGCCCGGGCAGAATCACGCCTGATGTTTGCATGCAACGGTATCGCAATATTGGGCGCGTACGGGTCGGCATGTTTGGCAGGCTGTGGAGGCCGAGCTTCAGGACAAAGAATACGACGGAGAGGAGGCCAAGGAGTGGAGTCTTAACATTGCGGACACAATTCGAGAAGGGGTCAAGACCCTCAACGTTCCCCGGTAAGAAGCAATGCCAGCGATACCAATGAGTAACAACATAATAGGGTTAAGTTTCTCGGAACATATTATCACACGTTTTTTAGGTCGTCCGCTTAATTTCGACCGACAGGAGAAACTCGGCTCTTCTTTTGACAACATTCGTCGCTGTCCAGGCCCTACAGGAGAAAAGAAAAAAATAGACAAGTTGTCCCACGCGTATTTCTCCCTGCTTGACGAACGACGAAGAAAACTGTTGCCTACGTGATTTCATCAACACCTAGACTTCGTGAAGGAGGTATAGAAGATAGAGGTAGGCGTGTACCTCTGACAGTCACCAGAATTGCGTCCCAGCTGGGTACCTCCATGTGAAGCAATTTCACGTCGACTGAGAGATAAAGGGTTGTGTTATTCAACTGGTGTGCCTACAGGGTTTACTGCTTAGACGAACAGCTTCATTTTCCAGCGGGCCGCTCTCTCGATTGCAGCAGACTCACTCCTCGGACCTGCACCGCAGTAGTATGGCAACCTCCACACATCCTCCACGGTAGACGCATTGTACTACGACCGACACTGGGTACCGTATCACAACAAGCAATATGCGGCTTGTCCTTGCACCAATCCGATCCAACCACAGGTACAAGATAGTGGTGCAGGTGACGATCGGGCAAATGAAAGACCAAGGAGTGAGGGTGGCGTCACGCTGCCTGTGGGACACGGCGACAGATAACTATGCCTCAGTTCAGTTCAAGAACCAGAGCCTGTGGTGCTCGGCGATGGTGTTTGGGGTGTTCACCGAATAGCCGGCCGAAGTGATGACACTTTGCCGATGATAGTCTGAGATCGACGAGTGCTCGTGTTGCTGCGATCAGCTGGAGAGTATCAGTGATACTGCTTCCCCTTGTTGATTCGTCGACGAGGCATTCTCGTTGGCAGAACCTGTTGTTATACAATATTGCTCGTACGTTGATCCGAGTTTGGTTTGCGGTCAACGAAGACTCTCCGCAGCGGTATGAAAAAACACGCATTCATTCGTACCTTCGGTTTTTTCTCCTGGGCGTGGCGTAGTTATCTGTTTACCCAGACCCATCGCGCCTGTGCTACCATGTCCCTTAAAGGCAATACAAATCTTGAGGGATGTGAGACAACCTCTGAATGCCTCGATTACGCGTTCATCTGTGTACCACAAAAGAACATAACACGTGGGGCGAAGGTAGAGCCTTCATAAGCCGGCCAAGGACACCGTGTACGCGCATTGACAAAGCCTGACAGTTGTACAGAGACCTTCATCACAACACTTGGTAAGAGCCCACCCAACACTCTTGTCGCTTTTGTAATGTGCTGCGAGCCAAACCAGGGCAAACGGCCATCAAGTGCGCTGTGCAGGCGCAAAACAACCTTGGTACCGGGGAAAGACAAACGAACGCGTGATTCTGATCAACTACGAGTCTGTGGAAGCGTTCCAACCCTCCTTTTGGTGCAGCCCTACGTCGGGGCGCCAGAAAAGCGAGCTGTTCACCGATGGCACAGAGAATACCGTCCCGGCAATAGCCCCGAACGCGACCCCGACCCCGGTTCCGATTGTATCAGACACCCCGGGCTCACAGTGATCCGTTTTTGTGCCCACGACACGGTCATCGTCACCAACAGCCTTCGCCACAGCTGAAATAGCGGTATCTCCTCCTGAGAAGCCTCTCTTTCTGCCCTCACCCGTACCCAACGGTGCCCCAGACGATGAGCCAATGGTTGACCTCGTGGCGGCCTCCTCTACCCTGAGACGGTGATGCCACAGCGCCCACGACGTGGTGGGAAAGGCAAGGGTATCCCACGGAATATCTTCCCATCGAACGGAAATTACCTGCACGTACGCGAATGGAACACAATCTGCTGTGAGAGGGCAGCTCCATGCTTGTCGCAAGCAGATGAAGAGGTGACCAGCAACCAGCTCGCTATATACACCCGGTCGCCCCGGGGGTCTAGTGATTGTCCTCGTAGCCTACAAAGGGCCAGGTCATGGGTTCGAGTCCCGGCATAGTGGGTTTTTCCTCTCCTAATGAATCCTGGTCTAAGTTGGAAGCGACGCGCTGCGAAGCTCGTTGTTAGTAAACTGATCGACTTCATTGTCGACATCGACTTAGCCGTCGCTAGGGAAGGGATTGCTGTACCCTTCTCGCGACAAACATATCTCAGGCAGGCACCGCATGAGGTAGGTGGGGACAAAAGTAGATAAAAGGAGAAAAAAATCGGCGTGGGTAGCCCCTCCTGTTTGACCCCGGACGGTGCGTCTAGCTAGTTGTAGTGTACCAAATACGCTGAGAAATGTAAGTGCACACACGCGGCAAACGTGTAGTGTGCACCGTAAAGCAGTAGGCAGGCGGCGCCAGAGATTGAAAAAAAAAAAACATCGTGGCAGGATACACTTCACCTCTCAGAACATCAAGGACGGGGACGGCAAGGCCCTTCGGGACCCCACGTTCATTCGCAAACGGTGGGCACGGTGGTTCCACAAGCTTCTCAACACCAAGTCGCCGACCATCGACCTGCATGCGGCTGACAAGGTCAAGCGGCTGCCCACGTGTATGCCACTCGACAACATCCCACCTCTACTTGAGGTTGAGGAAGCGGTACGGAAAGTGGCCAACAGCAGGGCCGTCGGGCCGGACGACCTACCGGCTGAGTTGATCAAGCTTTTCCTGGACGGAGATCAAGGTCTCCTCCGCGAGTTCCACGCCACTGTCGTGGACGTGTGGCAGACGGGGGACGTACCACAGCAGTGGAAGGATGCCACCATCAAAGTCCTGTTCAAGAAGG